GAATTTTATACTACTTGACCTTCAAATTGATTACAAAAAAAAAAAAAAAAACGCTTAAAATCGCCAACCTGGGACAACTGAGAAATTGCTTTTCTATATACAATCCAGACTTTCAGAAAAACTTGGGTTCATTTATTCCTCAGCCGAGCGTTAGGCCTAAAAACCTATGCTATTTCGACGGGTCGGGGTAAAGGTGTTAGTTCAGCGGCTGTAGCTGGCAAGAAGAGTTAGTTGCAGGGCATATGTATGTCCATTATATCCTTGCCTAGTCTGGATAAGCAGGCGTTTAATCTGCTGAAGTATACAGCTTTTGGCCTGCAATGTGTAGTACATACACACTTGAAGACGACATGAGATAGGCAGGAGTTTATGTAAATGATGTTCATTTTTGATAGCTGATCTATACATTGCCCGTTCCAAAGTTCGTGCGATGCATGTCTAGATCCCAACCGTCAATTTATTTAGATCGCATTTTTGTATGGCTAGGAGGTGACTCTACTTCAAATAGATTTCTGTTGTGATATATTATCTACGGTATAATTGTATACCCTTACACGACTCGTAAGACCTTCAAGTCAATAAAATTCGGATGTTATATGAAGGCATCCCGCGGCCGTTGTTAACAGTACGATATTTTGACAGGTATGTAGATTTCTCTACTGTGACTTGTCAATCTGCTGTGTCCATGTGTGGCAGTGAGCCAATTGCATTACATGTATGCACAAATATTGTACATTTCTTTGTCCTCACATCACGTATCTCTGTTAAATGCGGCTATGTGCAAGGATAGCAACCTTTCAAAATTGCCATTTTTCGGATTATCAAGCATCATAATTTGATTGCTATTGACGTGAGTTCCTTACTGCCATTGTATAACTTGCATGCTGCTGGGAAACAAAACTATTTTGGCCTACATCGAACAAATTTTTGTGACAAAAGGCGAAAGCGGCATCATAAAAACGAAAAGCTACACTAACAAATTACACACACAGTGGCAGTCAGAACACAACAATAGTACAAGAAACATATCATTTTGACAATCAGCACAAATTGCCTAGAGATCAGCTGCTCTAGAAACTCCACCTAATATGAATTCGCCTTGGCCTTTTACTTACAAATTCCCCCCAAGAAATATAAGTCAAATGCGATACGAAGTATTTTGCAAAGTTATAAGCACATTTTTTTTCTGTGTATAGTTACTTACCAGCACATCAACTTGATGCAGCAATACTTTCCACATTATCTTACCAGATGTGCATACCTATATTCTCCTTATTATTTTCTACACATTTACCATTCACTTTGTGCTCAACATTCCTTCCTTTTCAGGTCGATACTTATCTGCAGCTAAAAGGCACACAACTAGAGCGTGAGATGGCAGCTGAAATAATTTTGCACATACTCGATAAAGTCATGCAAAATACACAATCGCTGAATAGTCAACAGGTAAGCGACACAGCATTTCTTATCTATTTAAGACTGTAGTTTGACAAATTATACGCGAGAGCAACAGCTAAAAGAAGAGGTATTTTCATAAATCATTTAAAATTACCGTACTCGAGAAATAGCGCATTTCCCAGAAGATAATTTAAGTAGGCCTTCTTAAGTGAAGCTATTCTAAAAGACTTACCGAAGAAGGGTTTTAAAAAGGCGCTACGCGTAGGCCCTATAAATAATTAAGCGAATGAATTTCAATGCTAAAAGGCAATAAAATATATTCTATATAAGCTTTGAATAAATACTTTGCAGAAATATGATTTTGATTAATTAAAGAAGCAACTCTAGAAGAACGTCTGGAAAAGGCCTTTCAATTTATGCCACCCCATACTCAAAAAGTTATTGAGTAAGCAATACAGAGTGGAAGCACTCTTGGCTCTCAGGAAGGTCCTTTGGAACGGGTTTAATAATCTAACGGACAAATGGCGCATAGCTCGCTCTTGTAGTTCTAAGGTCTGTGCCTGCAGCAAAGCTAAATAAAAGTATCTAATAATTTTTCCTTACTATTACATATTTTTTCATTCCATTTCATTCAATTGCTTGTATATTGAATACACATACACACAATCAAACCGTGAAATGAATTTTCTTGAATGAATGCGCACAATCAAGCGAATAAATCGTGTTACATCAAATTTACGCTATGCTCCACAATTGCGCCGCCAATCGTAGCAGCAAAATAACCAAAAATAAAAAATAAAATAAAAAAAAAAAACAATTGCAACATGAAACAAAACTCGCTTCAACTAAAGCCAATAACTTGCGAAACTTTATTGGCAGTTTGGCGATGACGTTGAAAATCTTGGACTGACGCATGCAATGACTTTTCACGCGTACATAGACAACTGCAGCAACAACTGCAGCAACAATGATAACATCAATTGCTGCTGCTGTAACTTTGCACCATTGTTTGCAGTAAATTTAGAAGAAATCGTTGCAAGCGACGCAATGGCATGTAGCAAATGTGGCAAACACATTTATATACTTAAATATGTTACCTATATATGTATGTCCATATGTATGTACATTAGACAGCATCACTTCCCATGAAAAAAAAATCACCTCAGATGACAGATTTTTTTAGCTTAAACTATTTTGTCACCTGAGGGACGATTTTTCAAAAAATCCTTTAAGAAACTATTTTGATTCATAAAAACCCCAATTTTTGGAGGTATTTTCAAAGCCGTCCAGCTCACGTAAATTTTACCCTTTTCCCGAAATATTAAATATCCAAGATTTTGTAATCGCGGCGGAAAAACTGAAGGCTTTTTTGGGTGATGCAGTCTAATGTACATACATATACATATGTATGTACGAGTATATATGTACATTTGCACGTGTGCAATGCGCATACTGATACATACAGCTCAAACAAAAGCCGTAGCTACAAATACAGACGAATATGCTACACTCAAATTGCTGCTTTTCAAATGCCGCTTGTTGCTATCCTATCCGCGCGTAACTGTCGTTTGCTGTGTTGCATATCTGCGCTTGTGGCATGCAACATAGCAAATGTGTTGTAGGAAAATGTACTTGTGTTTATCCATACATACATGTGCGCGTGTGTGCAGGTTTGCATATTTTAGTGATTGCATCAGCCATGCTTGCATATTCGAGACAGTTTGATCAGCCCAACTGCATACATATCACTCGGCTGCTAGTCAGTTGCTCTGCCAACTTGCAGTTGATATTTCCTAGAAGCACAATTTTTTATTTATTGTTTGGTAATGTACCGATTGCGATTGCCAACACACAAATCGCTAACTTAGCAGCTGTACATATAGGAGTTGCGAACCCTGCTGGGAAAAATTTATGTATATATGCGAGCTTATAACCCGTATGTAGATTTGTCAGCATCGCACAAATATTGAATAATCGATTAACTATTTATTCAATGTATTTATTTACCCACTAATTTATTTTAACTTTTCGTTGAACATGTGCAAATTTATTTATTGATTTTTTTATTTTGAATTAATTATGGAAACTGAGAGAAAAAATCATTTTTCACTTAAAAAAAATAAAAAAAAAATAACAAAAACAAATTGAATTACTTTCGTGAAACGGCCAGTAAAATTCGTGTTTTTCTGAAATGTCAAAATCTATCTATCAATTTAAGTGGAAATTAACTTTAATTTAATTTTGTATTTAATTCTCATTTAAATAATTTTCAGTTTCAATAAACTATTTATTTAAGTGAGTAAAAAGTGGCTGTAAAACAGACTAGCCCAGCGAAAGCTTTCATTTGTACTGAGAGCTTTTGAAAGCTTTGGCACGCTGTGTTGTAAAAGCAGGGCTGTAACACCTCTGAGTGTGGTTATTCTGATTTAATTTTTATTTAAGTGAAGAGCATAGGTCACTTAAATCAAAATTAAAATTGATTGGGGAAACCAAAAATTCGAAAATTAAAGTAATTTTCACTTAAAAAATTTGCTGAAACTGGCTGTTAGGAAATACATTTTTTTTATATGCATGCAGTCATGATAAAAACATAACAAGGTAAAACCATTGAGAGGCAGTCTAACGTTTGCCAACAATATAATTTTAAAATTCAAAATTGAAACTCACATACACATTCTCATTTTCAATCTCAAACGACAATAATTGTGAACAATTTAATTTTTTTATTTTACATTTTATATGATTTTAAAATGTTGGCCAACGTCAGAAAAAAAATCATGGCCGACGAATTGAGAGAATGAATTTACCTTGCAACGTTTTAATCATGCATACAATTCTTCTGACAATTTTTCTACAGACAATAGCTAAAGACATATAAATCGCCAAGTTTTTAGTTATCTTAAAATATGGTATATATTAATTTTTGTATTTTTTTCGATAGGTGGCAACACTATTAATATTTTTTTTTCTTATTAATATTATTCATAAATTCTTAACAAAGTGGCATTATAGCCGCAAATTAAAATTTTAGTTTTTTTCTGATATTTCACATATCTGGCAACTCCGAATTTTCATTTTGTTTCTTTACAAACCTTTTACAGACATGTGTCAAATCCTTTGTGCTGTTCGTGAGTCACACATACGAACAGCAATTGATTTTTATATTCAAATAAAAATTTATTTTTATAGTTAAAACAAAATATAGCTCCTCTGTACCAAAACCACTGTTGACCAGAGCAATGCGGGTTTTTTTATTTTATTTAACTTCATGTTTTGAAATTTCTCTGCTTAGAAATTTTCCTATTGGCAAACTTTACATACATATATATGTTTTTTTCATCGGTATACATATACATACATACATACCTACATACATACATACAGATAAAAGTAACTGCTATATGTACATATATTTTGTTGCACGTTATCTCCTTTCTAGCAGCTATTGATTGCTCTAAAGCTAGTGAAAAATTTAAATTCAATTTAGCGTAACAATCAAGAGCGAATTGAACCAACAAGTGAACGCTTCTAACAATTTAATACCATGAAATTCTAGTACAGCCAAATTTAGACACAATTGCAACGGGTAAATTCAATCAATTGCGCAGCGACAGCGATTTGTTCCAAAGATAGTTTAATGGCGAAAGCGGAGGCATCAAATTAGTTTGTTGTGGTTTACTTATTTGTCAAGATAAGTACATAGTTTTTTTTTATATTTTTAGAAAAAAAAGCGTCCATGGGAAATACATTTGTTTAGTGAAATGACTAAATTTCAAAATCGCTACCATCACTTGAATTAATCACCGGAATATATATTCTTTTTTTTTTGCCATACAAGATGTTACTCACACGCCCTGTACTTCCTCATGCCAATATGTATGCACACTTTTCAAGCCATATTTGCATTTTGTACGCAAATAAATTATGCCAATTTTTGGGATATTAAAAGTTATCAAGTTTGGTATGACTTTTTATATCTCAAAAATTGGCATCTCTCTACATTGCCAAAATCCTTCACATACTCACACTCATTTGAACTAAATATATTCTAATGGTTCTACATAATTTCATGGCTCATAAAATCACTTGCACATTTATAACTCTATTAGTTGTATGTGAAATGCAATTTCAATGGCATAAATGACATCATAAGCATAAATTACTGAAACAAATTCTCAATTTAAATTTAGGATTATAACCAAACTGCTGGTATGTAGGAATGTGTAAAAGAATGTTGAATGTGTGAAAAAGTATAAGGGCATACATAAAATGATATGAAGACACTCAGCCACTAACAGCAGCCAGCCAGCAGACAAAATTCAAGGCGATCAAAATCAATGCAATAACTCAATTTGTATGTCTGTCGTATGCTGTTCGTAAGTAATGTGTTTTTAAAATGCTAAGCTATGCATAATAAGCAGATGCTGTTGTTACCGTTACCTACAGCAAAGGCAAGAGAAATAACAATAAACCATAACCAAATACAACAAAAAAAAAAAAAAACGAACGGCAACAATAAATGGCAAATGCAGAAAGAAAATATAAATTATGATCAAAAATTAAGCGAACATTTTTTTTATTTACAATGCGAGCGCATGTGCGACCTCCTGTTTATTTTAAAAGCGTGCATGGGTGTATGCGTTTGAGTGTTGAAAGCGCAACCTGTAATAGTTACAATTTATTTGAGTTTTTAACTGGGGAGTGAAGTCTAGGGTTCCGAAATAATATTGTACCAGATGTTATACAAACTCCATTTACTCTTCGTTCTCCAAAAATTTAGTGCAGAAATGAAGTACATATCTACCTTTTTTCTCGTTTTATAAATACTTATCTATGTACCTCAAAATTGTAAACATCGCTTCATGCCTTTTAAGTACTCTTGTTCGTAATAACAGACCACCGATGATCTCCATCATCCACCTACTATACCACTGGTCGACATACTAATACATTCAAACGATTCAAGAAGTGAGACTGTGTGCGTTACATGTACTGTTAAGCTGCCGCCTTCGTATACTTGTGAAACACACATGTGCTCAGAGAGCGTTAAGTGAGCTATGGCCTGCTGACCACTGATCTATAGATATAAAAGTTAGTGCGCCTGGACTACACTGGAGAAGTGAAACTTACGTTACATACATATCTATTTTGTCTCATAACCAATATACATACATACATATATACATGCAGTACATACTTCTGCTTTTGCTTGAGGCGGCTTGAGGCCGCTAAAGAAGTTTCACTTCAATAAAATTGTAACTGTCCGATATCTGTACCTTATAGATGTTAAAGAAAAATTAATATTTATTAGAGCAACAGAAGCCAAATCAACAATTTTTAGAATTTTTGTCTGTCTGCCTGTCTGTTTGTATGTTTGTACGCGCACACTCGAAAACTAATGCATGGAATCGAATGCAGTTTACACCGATTCACCGAAAACTAATTTGAGAGTTGCCACCTGTTTGAAAATTGCATTTTAAACAAAATTCATAAGATAAAGATAATATGAATTGCAATACGGCTGTCAATAGAAATAGGTTTGAGAAGGCTTATATTCAAAAATATTTTTTATGGAAAGTTGCCACCTGTTTGAAAATTTTTATTTGATTTAATTTATAAGATACATTAAATATTGCAATATGGGTATCAAACTAAAGAGGTTAATGAAAGTTTACTGTCAAAAATATTTTTGAGCGGAGTTGCCACTTGTTTGTAAAATTTTACTCAATTACTAAATTGACAAAATGAACGAAATATTACGATACAGGTATCAAACTGAAGAAGTTTAAGAAAGATTACTGCAAAAAATATTTTTGTAGTGGGTTGCCACCTATTTGAAAATTTTAATTCAGTTAAAGGGATAAGATATGGTAAATACTGAATTAATACATCTTTTAAGAAAGTGCACGATATCTAGAATTGAGTTATAAAGAGTATAAATGAAATTTTCAGGATTAAATACCTTCTATAAACTAATATCCTTATTCATAAAAAATTAATTATGTTTCATAAATCGAAAATTTATTTGAGAATCTCTATTCATAAAGGTCTTCAAATCTTTTTATTTATTTATATTTCAATGAAGCCATGTGAGTTTTGGAAGGGAGTAACAACTCAAACATACTTTTAAGGCGCAGTGAAACACGCCGGGTACTTGCTAGTTTGAAATAAAAATATCGAATAAGTCAAATCGTGGTTTTCCTTTTAAGGATTTTACCTTTAACGTTTAGCAGAAGGTGAAAGTAGCAGGTCCGCCCACTACTACCTAACGCAGTGAAGCGGAGAAATCTTGCGCTGCGAAATTTGGTTGCATAATAGGCTAAAATAAAAAAAAGGAATTTTCCACAGACTTTTCTGGAGACATTCACAGTGCTTTCAATAAGGGCGCCTTCAAGAGCGAGAGGGAATCGGTATGTTAATTGTGATGATGGGAAAGACCAATTCTTATGGTCCTGCTGGACCCCTGTGTGGGGCAACCACATTGGCAAAACCTAAAGCTTTACGACTTCTTTCGGTTGTAGTTTTCGAAGCTCTCATAGATTTTTCTGATTCATATAAGAACAGGAAACTGTATCTTTCTCGCCAAACGACATGCAATTTCTCATCGACTATATCTATGAATGGCCTGTAATTTATTTTTTTGTTAGGTAAAATCATGGTTTACAAACTTTTATTTTATATCCAAAAACATAAGGAAAGACACGGTCAGCTAGCTTCATCAATCGAGAGCTTTTAAAGCAGAATCCTGCTTTGGATAATGTAAAAATAAAGCAAAACTGTCTTTTATTCGCGTGCTGTATCCATAAAAAATACTTGAATAATGTAATTTATGACATTGACCTAGTTCCAGGTGAAACTCATTTTAAGATAATTTTTGTTTAGCCTCAACTTCAAAATATTTCCTTGACTTCAACTTTCTTATTTATGTATATATTGCAATTTCCTATCAATTTCCTCTTAATTTATTACTAACAAATTGTCAGCTCAGTATGCATGGCCGCATATGTATGTATGTTAGGGTGGTCCTTAAAATATCAACAACTGAATTTTGTTTTGGTCCCCCCTTTATTTTGTTCTACGTACAAAACAGAGACATTCACATAATTTCAAAATTTTGAACAAATTTTTAGTATTCGCTACCAGGATTTAAAAAAACAAAAATTTATTATTTTTTATTAAATCGTGAAAAGTCTTCAAACTTTAACTTTCACTAGATTTTACTAAAACTATTTAAACTTATTCATACAAATTCATAAACTCGCTGAGTTTTAGCTGGTCAAACTTAAGGTTTTGTGAAAGGTTTGTGATAAAAAAAAAAATTTTAAAACTTGTTTAAATCCTGGTAAATGTCTTTATTTGCTACGTTGAGCAAACTATCGGAGTACGCCATGAAGTGCATATTTTAGGGACCACCTTAATTTATGTACATACATAAGTATATAAGTTATAAAATGGAGCAATAAAATCCTTGCGCTCTGCATAATCGTGTTAGCTAACTATGCCGTATGTGCGTATAAATTTCAAGCTACTTAAATTTATTTCATCTTACTTAAGCTATTTGTTTTACTTTCATTTGGATTTATTTGTTTACTCTTTATGCTGAGCTGCTTAAGCGATTTATTACAGTTCGATTGGTAAGCAATCAATATGGGGAAATTATTTGGCAGTGAATTTTACGCTTTAGATATTTTTGGCAAATCATCCCAGTCGGAAAAGTAGTAATGCATTACATCCGTGGTAAATAGTAGAATGTATTTCTTATGAGTTCTCGATTATATTACTGCTAACTGTTAGTAATGTTACTAATGTATGTAATCAGCTTTCTAAACACATTCATTCCTCGTTACTAGGTAATGCAAAATTTAATGCCCCACTTTTCTTAGGACATCGCCCTGGGACAAAAATGCATTTTCGAATGTGAAAAGGGTACTTGTACTGATTATTTTTTCGATTACTATACATTACATTTTCCCTCTGGGATGCAGTTGACACTTATTTTGTATGTTGAAAAAATGTTAAGGTATTTTGTTTTAGTTTTGTTCGTTTGCTGCAGAAAACTTGGCAAAAATAGCAAGCGATTATAGGAAAATATGTTTAAAAAAATTATAATAATTTGCACCAGCTGAAACATTTTTTCTGCTCAAAAAAACACTGAAATTTCTTAAAGTTGAATTTTTTATTCCTCGAAAGCAGCGCTGCCCACGCCGTAGAACAAAAGCCAACAAAATAAAATCCAGCTCGCGAAAGCGCTGTTCGTGAAATTGTAGTTCTTGTGCGCAGTAGGCTCTGATGACTTTTTTAATTTTCGCTAGCTCACTTCTTGACGTACTTCGAAATAGACAGCACATTACCAGCGCACCGGTGAATTTCAAATGAATTCCAAGTGAAGCCACCTCTGCGTTGATTTCCTGGAATTTCATCGCACTACGAGCCGCACAACACAAAATGTCAATTCGCTTTCGCTGCTTCTGCCGTTTTATTTAATATTGTTGTTGTTATTGTAAGCTTCGCTAATGTAATGTAAGTATTTTTATTACTGGGGCTGTGGAAGAAATATTCTCCGAATTTCGCACGAAACATCTTCGACTTGTGATTTTTTTTTCTTCGTTTTACAACTCCAGCTCACGAATAAGTTTCTTCTGGGTTTCGCTGTTTTAAGGCCTCTACAATTAGTTGCTCATACGCCATGTATGCCTGCATGTCCAATTACTTTTTGAAACCTTAAAAGAGACAGAGAGATGGTATGGAAATTACAAAATACAATTTAAAACTCGAATTCGCAACATGCAAACCCCAAAGCCAACACGCCAAGACTTGAAAACTTCAACTAACCTCAATCACTTACGCTTAACTACTACCCCAAAGAGCCTCACTGCTGTATGCTCACGGCGTAATTTAATTACGTACGTCTTCTTCACTTAACAAACGATTACCTTTCACTTAACTTCCTGTTGTTAATACTCTTATTTTCGACCTAACTATTTCACTTTCCTATTTCACTTGCAGCAAATTAAAAAATTGCAACTCTTAACACAATCAGCAGCGTTGAACCGTGAAACAATTGCAGCATCTCAATTAGCAACATCAACATCATCCACGTCAGCAGCAGCAGCAGCAGCGGCTGCGGCCGCAGCGTCTGCAGCATCAGCCACAGCAGCAGGCAATAGTGCAATATCATCCTCATCCTCGGCCTCTGCTCCGGCAACTACAACACACACAGATGACGGCGGCGCATCGAGCTCGGCAACAGCTGGCAATGCCATGTCACCGGCACGCTCCACTTCAGCCAATTCAGCGTTAGCTACATTGTTGCGGAACGATGCTGGCGGTAGTGGTACTGGTACTGGTGGTGTTGGTGGTGTTGGTGGTGCCAACAGCATACTCACAGTCGATGAGGATTCTTTGTCGTTGGATCGCTTAAATTCGCTGCGCATCTATATGACTTCAGTGAAAACGTTGCCGTTCAATTTGAGGATTTACGGGTGAGTATTTGCAGAGTTTTGGGAGAGAGAAAAGGCGGAAATGGGAAAGAGTGTAGCACTAGAAGACTTGATTCGTTTACGTTGCAGGAAAATTGGAGATTTTTTGAAATTATGTAACTGTTTGGTAAAGATAGACAAAGTTTGTTAAATATTAGTAAGCACAACAATGGGCACTAAGGTTAAGACTTATGTGGATTAGTTATGGCATTTGAGTTTAAACTTGGGGTTATACGTTACCCTAAGCTTTTTTTTCGCCTTACCTTTGGCCGAGTTCATTTGGCCAAGTTTTATGTTGAAAATTTATACTGGAAATATTTTGATCTTAATAGGTGAAAAGCTATCGCTTTAAGTCGATTCCGTAATGAATATTATTAAATCAGAATATTAGATTTCCATAGGTATATCAGTCAACCTTTATTATATACCCATTTTTATAAAATAATCAGCTCTCTGTTATTATACGGGTATAACATAAAAAAAAACAAAAATAACGGTAGGGTAAGCCCGATACTTCTTAACTAAGTTTTAAATGCAAAGTTCAAAAAAAACTGCCGTNAACCCTAAGCTTTTTTTTCGCCTTAATTTTGGCCGAGTTCATTTGGCCAAGTTTTATGTTGAAATTTTATACTGCAAATATTCTGATCTTAATAGGTGAAAAGCTATCGCTTTAAGTCGATTCCGTAATGAATATTATTAAATCAGAATATTAGATTTCCATAGTCAACTTCCATCAGTCAACTTTTATTATATACCCATTTTTATAAAATAATCAGCTCTCTGTTATTATACGGGTATAACATAAAAAAAAACAAAAATAACGGTAGGGTAAGCACGATACTTCTTAACTAAGTTTTAAATGCAAAGTTCAAAAAAAACTGCCGTAAATTCAATATAAAATCACCGGAGAATAAAGTAACTAAATGTTGCATCTATACGAAAGAGAAGTTTCTGGAATTTTTTTCTCTGACAAAAAGCAGACTGGGTCCCATTTACAAAAAAAAAATTGACTTCCGGTCAGTGTAACCCATTTCCGGACGAAACGGGTAGTTGGTAATACGACCAAAAGATAGAGCCTCCCCGATTTGGGTTTCGTTTTCAAATAAAAACATTTTCGCCAATTTTAACAATCCAGTGCGAGTAGAAGTTCAAATGTATTTTACAGAGAGAAAATGGCACTTCCTAGAAAAATTTTGCAAACAGCAGTTACTTATATTTATCGGCAGAATCCGAAGCTGTAGGAAAAACATGTATATCCATTTTAAAAAGATGGACTTCCGCTCAGTTTAACCACAAGTTGGCCATCTCCGAATTTGTGGTTCACATTTTTCCGTTTTCCAATGAATGCGGTGGGCGGGTGGTCTATTACGTAAAATTGCTCAAATCACTCGCAGGTAAAAAAAAAAGCTCAACATTTTTCTCAATTATTTTCAAAATCTACTCATTCATACTTTCTAACCTTTCCAGCATAAAATGAAATCTATAAAAAAAAATCTCTAACTAATTAGTTACTATTTCTCTTCATCATTTTTTTTGTTCTTTCTTCTCCTCAGCGATGATTTGTTCGCGGATCAACTTTACATGGACATTGGACTCTCCACCAGCCTGCTCAACATAATGGCCAACTCAACGATATTCGCATCGGTTATCTCGTATAAAAATTTAAAAAGTTTTCTACCAAAAACTTATTACACGCGCGGCAGGTGAGTTTACCACAGAGTACATAGTTTTATGAACTAGAGAGATGAAGTGAATTCTCTAGTTTAATAGTAATGGCGGAAAGTTGTAGCATGTCCGGGAAGTTTTGGTGCTTCTTGCTTTTAATTTCATGGCATCAATTTGGTAGTTTGAAATTTTCTAAAGTAAAGTAAAATGGAAAGTTTTGACAATTCATTAGTGAAAGTACCTGCTATGACGCGAACGAAGCCAGATTTTAATGGTCAACTTGAGGCAGTTATACATACATACCTACAAAGAAATATGTATTTACGTATGTACATACATCTCTCGGTATAATCGTGCGCATTTAAGAGACAAACAAAAGCATTTAGCAAGTCAAAATATTTTCAAAATCAACCAAAATAAGTATATGTCCATACACACACACAAACACACACACACACAAAGCTTGCACGTCATGCTAAAGCGTAAACAAATACGCTCTCAAATATCAATAAATTTATTTTGTTCTGGCAGTTAAAATCTTTGTAGTAGCTCGTTCTTCTTGCTTGCTTGCTCCCCTGCGAGAGTTGCCACAGATTTAAAAGTTTTCGCACAAAGCGCCAGGCAAGCAACCACAGTTTTGCGCAAGTTTTTGACATTTTCTAAACTTTAGCATAACTGCATGCAAAATAAATTCGATTTTATTGATTTTCCATAGGGTAATAGCGCTAAATGACTTAAANGGTTCTTCTTGCTTGCTTGCTCCCCTGCGAGAGTTGCCACAGATTTGAAAGTTTTCGCACAAAGCGCCAGGCAAGCAACCACAGTTTTGCGCAAGTTTTTGACATTTTCTAAACTTTAGCATAACTGCATGCAAAATGAATTCGATTTTATTGATTTTCCATAGGGTAATAGCGCTAAATGACTTAAACTTGAGCGCCACATTACTTTGCACAAAAGCGATTGCGAAAGAACATCGTCATGAAATTTATTTAAAGTACGGAAAAACAATTTGAACATTTTTGAAATTTAACTAACTAACTAAATGACACAGAAGCCGCTTGCAAAAGCATTAATTGTGCGTAATAATGTCAAGTTGCTAGCAACAAAGATAGCGAAGTAAGTGCAGTTTTGATAGTCATACATAGAGCGGTGTCAGAATTATTAGCGCACCACACTGTATTTTTTCTATTATTTATTTTTTAACCGACTTCCAAAAAAGGAGGAGGTTATCAGTTCG